TTACACAATTACGTGTCTATATATATATATAGGGATAATTTGACAAAACTCCCTCATTGCAACCCTCCCTTTACAAGGAGTCCAAAAAAAAATTCAATTTTTAAATTAAATCCAAAATATCCTTAATTAATAAAAATTAATACAGTTTCACAATTATACCCTTTCTTATATCTCACCCAAACCCTAGATCTTATACTCATATCTTCTCTCTCTCTTCTCTATTTTTGTCGTTTTGATTTCTCTACCGCTACAACAAATTATTTTTTGCATCTCCTTCACCAACCCCGCACTCTCTTCCCCAACCCCACTCTCTCTCCTTTTCTCCCTCCGGCCGACCACCATTCGCACACCAGGATTCGCGCGAAATTGAAGAAGACAACAGAGGCGAAATTGGGAATAAAATTGATGGGGCGACAATAAATTGAAGCTTAAACAAGGTGATGCGCGAGAAATTCTCGATTTTTTCACGAGAATGCAGTTGAGTAGTTCTGGTTTCTTTTATGTTATGGATATTAATGAGAAAGGGTGTTTGAGGAATGTATTTTGGGCAGAAACGAGGTGTAGGGCGGTATATGGTTATTTTGGAGATGTTGTGTTTTTCGACACTAAATCTTTGACTGAAAATTACGAGGTTCCGTTGGTTGTATTTGCTTGCATCAATCACCACATGCAGATGGTGTCGTTATGTTTTCTTAGTAGTTGATTTCGTTGATAGTGGATTTTAATTTAATGATTGTTGGTCATGGGAATTTGTAATTAAACGGAGTGGTTTCATGTTTACGTAGCTGTTATACATAGTGGTTTTCATGTGTGACATAGTTGTTATACAGAGTAGTTTTCGTGTTTATATAACTGTTGATATATAGTGGTTTTTATGTTGACATGGTTGTTATAGAGAGTGGTTTTCAAGTTTACTTGGTTGTTATACAGAGTGGTTTTCATGTTACATGGTTGTTATATAAAGTGGTTTTCATGTTTATATAGATGTTTATACAGAGTGGTTTTCGTGTTTATATAGAGTGGTTTTTATTAAAAAAAAAACTGAAAAGAAAATAAAAAATACCATTTTAAAAAAAAATTCGAAATTAAGAAAAAAAACCATGAAAAACCGAAAATAAAACTAAAACAATTTTTTTAAATTAAAATTAAAAACATGGAAAATATTATTGAGAAAAAAAATTAAAATAAAAAATTGAAAATAAGAAAAATAATTACAAAATTTTATTTTAAATCGAAATAAAGAAACCCATTAAACAAAATAAAAAACAAAAAAGAAAAAAAACTGAATTGGCGTGATGAGGGGAATAATTTTTGGAGAAGATTTGTGTGTAAATTATGGGTATAATTTTTTCAAATTAAATAATTATACTAATTAATAATTAGTGGGGGGCATATATGGTTTTTCCGGCCCATTGGATTTATCTCAAATATCATTTTTGAATAAATGATTTATCAAGAATTAAAATCCCAATGAAGGGTGTTTGGCATATAGCCCCGATATATATATATATATATATATATATATATATATATATATATATATATATATATATATAGATATATAACTTTGCTATGAAACCCGAGATAGGAAATTAAATAGAGAATCTACTCTAAAATTAGCGAGACTTTAACCATGATCCCCTTAAAGCGATCCTTAAAGCATCCTGTCGAGGTTGGCCAGCCGTTATTATGGAAGGGGATTGCTTGAATATTATCGGAGCCCTTCAAGACGAAGATCATTCTCTCACGTCCTATGGTGCTTTTATAGAGGAAATTAAAATTATTGCCAAAACTTTTAATAGTTGCTCGTTTTCTTTTGTTAAACGGCATTGTAATCAACTTGCTCACTTCCTTGCTAGGGATTCAGACTTAGCTTGTCTGGAGGGTTCATCTGTACCTCCCAACTTGGCGTGTTATGCCTAATATATACTCATCGTTTTTTTCAAAAAAAAAAAGAACTGAATTGGAGATGAAATATATAGGAGTCCATTAAATTTAAATGTTAACTAATTGATTTCTGAATTAATGTATAGTCCCAATTGGGCAGTAACTATTGTCTATTGGTGTATAAATCTATTTAATTTCTGCTTTCAGAGGTATGATTAGTTGTGCCAACATGGAATTAAGCAAGAGAGGCACCGCCTGCTCAGTTTCTAATCAAGATCGAATCCTTCTCCTTGCTCGATAAATGTTGAATAACGAAATACGAAACAAGCGTATTTCTGGTTTGGCTGGAGAATATAAGTGGTATGTTGTGTGTATGCCTATTCTTTTTATTACAGCAAGGAAAAAGGAAAAACCAAAAAAAAACTCTTAAAAAAAGTTATGTAATATTTGTACAGGAGATTAAAACTCAATCCTAATGAAGACGACAACGTTGGGAAAGATAAGAGCTATATTGCTGTATATTTGGCTATGGCGAACACAAATTCGCTGCATGCAATATGGGAAATAAATATTGAGTTCACCATCCTTCTCATGCATCAGATTTCCGGCAATTATATTTCTACACTCGGTATATTTTATTACATCGATAAAGTTTAAAGTTTGTTGTCTTATAAATAATTTAAGTAGTTTGTTTAAATTGCTGAAAAGAAAACAAATTAGTAATAATTTGTTGTATCACTTTGATAGGAAGAGCTTTACGAAATTCTTCTCTAGAAAGGATTTGTTGGATCCTTCAAAGGGATTCCTCATTAATGACAACTGTGTGTTTGGTGCTGAGGTTTATGTCTTGAAAAGAGAAGCAGTCACTGAATGTCTGTCTTTGAAGAATGTCGATATTCCTGACAAGCGTGATTGGAATATTCCAAGCTTTTCCAAATTGCGAGTCGTTTGGAATTCCGAAGTGTTCTTAGCCGGAGGACAAAAATGGTTGGGTTTTTTTTTTTTTTTGGTTTTGTTTATTACTATTCTAGGGAATATTGTAGTTTTGGCCATAATATTTTCAAAAAGAAAAATCGTGCAAAATAGGACCATAAATACTGTATTTGCAAAGATATTGCATGTAAAACTGAAATATAAAAAGTTATAGGATTAAATCCTTAAATAGACCAATGCAGAGGACTAAAACAACAATTTTCCCTATTATTTATCCTCACCGGTCACCGCTAGTTTAATTTGTTTATAAATAATAGGATGTTTAGTCTTTTCCCCGAAGGATGTGGTAAAGGAACTGGATGCGGTGTCTTCATTTATTTGCACTATGTTGGCTCCGAAAGTGTGAAAGCATGTTTTACGATACGGATCTAATTAAAACCAGGTTCCTGATGCACATCGAGAAGGAATTGCTAATGTACACAACATCTATCACTTAAATTGTTGTGTGGGCTTCTAATTTTACTTCCATTCTTCCGTAGCATTCATTTTATCGGTATCCGTTTCAAAAAAAAAAAACCCAAAAATAATGACGAATTTATAATATTTTTACGCAATAAAAAGAACACTGAGTTTTTTTTACATCACGTAAAAAGAACTTAAAACATGATGTGTGGTGCAGGTTTTCTTTAACATATTCTTATTTCTAATGGATAATATATCCGTTAGAAAATTCTAACATATTATAGTCATTACAAACTTTATTTATCCATTCTATTAATAATACTTTATGTATATGTAATTCATATTGTTTCTAACGGATATATCTGTTAGAATTATAAAACATTCCATTAGATGGTTATCGAATCTCTCTCGTGAAAGGCTACATTTTTTTCTTGCAGAAACGATCTGGTTTTCACCTTCAATCAAGAATTGGGGATGGGCTCCATTCATTGACATTGCTACAATTGAAGATCCGAACCAAGGATTCATTGTGAAAGACTGTTGTCTTCTACACATAGAAATCTCTGTCCAAGCTGTTGCAAAAATATCTCCCTTACACTAGGCCAAAATGCAAGACTGGCGACGTTTATTTTGGCGACAATTCATGGTTCGTCGCCGCTTTGCGACGTTTTAGAATGAAAATCGTCGCTTGGTGTCAAAATCTTCGGTTTAGTTAAAAGACCTCGCGACGACTACTACAATCGTTGCTAACTAGCGACTTCAAAATGTAAAACTTCACAACTCTGAAAACAAAAATTAAAAAAATCTTGGTTTGCGACGAAATGGTGTTAACGTCGCACGAATTATATATTTTGTATTTTTATATTTGCAACGTAGTGACGCAACGGTGTAATACGTGGCCAAGTTTCCTTAAAAAAAGAAAAATAATTTCTTTGGCGAAGTATTTAGATAAACGTCGCTAATAAAAAGTATCATTAAATAATAATTAATATTTAGCGACGGACATCAGTAAAACGTCGCCACGTTTAAGTTTTTATAATTAAAAAAAATTTCTTTTGACGATAGTAGCAAAAACGCCGCACGATGATCCTGGAAAATTTTATACAAAATTTTACCCATTTTATTGCGACTGATTTGGGAAACGCCAAAGATTTCATTTTTTTGTGTTTTCATAATTCGTCGCCATGTTTCCTTCAAAAAAAAAAAGAATTTCTTTGGCGACGTATTTGGGTAAATGTCGCTAACAAAGGTCAAATTAATAAATTATAGGGTAAATTACAAACACCCCCCTGAGGTATGATCAAATTACAAAAACACCTCTCTTGTTTGGATAATTACAACCACCCCTCAACTCCTCAAATTTAGTGGAATCTTCGAGATTATATGGAATATTATCACTTTTGTACCCGTTTTATCCCATTCAAACTCTGCATTATGAAGCAAGATGATCATAATATGTGATTTTTAGCTTGTATATATCAGTTTGTGGTACATCGGAAACTGTATTTTTACACAAAACGAGTACAAACTAAAGCACATTTCACGGAATCTAGATGATTATGTTGAATTTGGCACCATAAGGGTGAAGGTGTAAGAAAAAATCATAGTTGAGGGGTAGATGTAATTATCCAAACAAGAGGGGTTTTTTTTGTAATTTGACCATACGTCAGGGGGGTGTTTGTAATTTACCCTAAATTATAATAAATATTTGGGAGTAAACGTCGCAATGTTTAACGTTTAATTAAAAATGCCTTTTATTTGCGACGAAGTAGCGAAAACGTCGCAGATGATTTCAGTTTAATTTTAGTTTTCAATCGGGCCCTAATTTCACTTTGCCTTCTCCGCCTTTCTTCTCTCTCTCTCTCCCCCTCCGGTCAGTCGTCTGCCGCCCACCGTCGGCCGTCCCCCGTCAGCCCTCCTCCATCTCTTTCGGCATCTGAACGCCGCTGCCGATCTCCGTCCTCCTCTGTCCACCACCGTCTGCCGTCCGTCCCTCAACAGCTTGAAGGTAATTTGGCAAAATCATATAATTTCAATTTTGGTGGTTTGAATTTGTGTGTATGACTGTGTGTGTGTCTGTGCATATGCTTGTGTGTGTGTGTGTTTGTGTTTGTGTGTGCGTGTATGACTGTGTGTGTCTGTATATTCATGACTGTGCGTGTGTCTGTATGAGAAATTAACTTTTTATAAATGTGAAAAATGGTTTTACGCCATTTTAAAAAACCTAAATTTAGCATTTTTTAATGGAAAATAGAATTAAAAGCATCCCATAGTCTCACCTTCACAATTCTTTTACTAAATTTTTCATTTCCGTTCTGCAATCTCATTTTTTTTATGCTGTTAGCATTCGGCACAATCTTTATGTCAATTGAAAATTGAAAGCTTTCCCTTTGCGACTTTCACTTTAATTTAGTTTTAGTTTCTGAATGTAATTTTGACTTGATAGAATAATTATTATTTTTAATTGTGACCCCTCCCAATTTCTAGGTATACTTGTTAAGTAAAGCATGCCAAAAGATAGGAGTTGGGTTTTATTGGATGATCGTCGGTTAGAAATATATCAAAAGGGATGTGTGGAATTTATGGATTTTGCCTTTGCTAACTGTGACGATGATAATAAAATAAGATGCCCATGTAGAGACTGTAAGTGTCGTAAATGGGGGGATCGTGAATTCGTGCATAAACATTTACTTTGGAGGGGCTGGGATAAACTTTATGGGCAACGCCGATGGACTCTGCATCGAGAGTCCGAAGAAGAATACAATGGCGAGGAAACGAACAATACTAATCATGTAGAAATTCCCGAAGTTGCGGTTCTAAATGAACCTGGTGGTGTATGTGTTGATGTTAGTGATGACATGGATGACTTACTGCATGGGAAGGTAAATTTGAAGGTAAATTTTATTTCTATTTTATGGGAAGGTAAATGAGTAAATTTTATGCTTTTAATTTATGGAATTATATTTTCATATATTAAAGTGTATTAATTTGTGCAATATTTTTCGCAGTCCAAATCAACTAAATACAAGGACTCGAGAAAGAAAGTGTCGACAGACCACCATTGGGGTCGAACAAGTATCAATAGTTGGTCCTATAGTCATGTAAGTGGCTTGATCTATAATTTTAATTTATTTAATTTTATAATGCGTACTTACTGTATAATCTATTTTTTTAGTTTAAAAAGTGTGGCAAAAATCCTACGGTGTTTGATACGTATAAGAAAGCCTACATAGGCATTGATGCGTTGAGGGAAACCAGACCATCTATTAGTGAGGAAGGGGAGACAGAAGAACCGTATAACGGGACAGCAACTCCTGAACAACTTGTCATTTCGGTAAGTGTAATGCAATTATATTCTTCAATCGGTAGTATGTTAATTGTGTATGTTTAGTTCGGATATATGGATATGGATACGGTTTTAATCTATGAAAATGAATATGCTGTTGTGGTTTATTATATGGATATTTTAGTTTAGCATGTTTAATTGTTTGATATGTTAAATAAGTACGGAGTTGAGATGTGTGGATATGGATTTTTTTTAATATGTTAAGTTGTTGTGTAAAGACAAGGATTTGTTTTGGGTATGCTCATATTTAGTTATTGTGTTGTCGATTTTTTGGCTAAACTTGTGTACTTATCATTTTCAGGCTGATTTGGAGCGATTTTATGATGAGACCATTCGTGATGGAAGTGATGAAAGCACGGCTAACTCGATTGCGACTGAAAAAGGGGAAAAAAGTAAAGGCCTTGAAATTGAAAGTGCAAGCACAAGGATTGGAAAGTCGAGATTTTCTTCAACACCATCAGAAGTGGAGATTCAAATTAAGTCAATGCAAGAACAAATGCAAATGAAAGACGAAAAAGTGAATCGATTGGAAGAGCAATTGAAGGAAACCCGAGAAACAACGCAAATTAAAAACGAAAAAGTGGATCGATTGCAAGAGCAATTGCAGGAAACCCGAGATATTGTGAACACCTTGCTCGAGCGTTTTAGACAACAAGAATTACAATCCTCGACGTCGACTCGTCGTAATGATAGTGGAATATAAAAACGGATGAAGTTAGTGTGCCTTTTGAAGTAAAGTTTGTAACAACATTACTACATTTATGCTTTGCTTTTCAGTTTTTATGTACGTTTTAAATTGATGTTTGTGTGCGACCTTGATATTTAATCCGTAATAGGGGTTTTAATATTTTTTATTTAACAATGTTTAGTTTTTTGTAAAACAGCTGATAGTACGGGTTTAATATTTTAATTGAAAATAATTAAACAAACGAAATTTAATATTTAAAAAAATAAATAAATTTGACACTAATGAATAATCGTCGCAAAGTAAATATAAAAACGAAATACTTGCGACGAATCATATATGAGAAATCGTCGCCAAAATTATTTGCGTTGTGCGACGAAAATACTTTTTAGGCACCAAAATATTAAGAGAATGTGCGACGACAAAGTTTCGAACGTCGCTATGTTTGGCGACGATATATACTTTCATAGCAATTGTTTGCGACTTTATTTATATTCGTCGCATACAAAGTGTGACGAAATAGTTGCATCCGCCGCGAGTAACAAAATTTTTTTTTTTTTTTTTAGAAAATGCAGAATTGGCAACGATTTATGTGATTCGTCGCCAAACTTGGAATCGCAAATGTTTTTTCGTCGTTGGCTTTGCGACGGGGCAGTTGGCGAGGATTTTAGCTCAATGTTGCGAGAAACAAATGTGTCGCAAGACGTACAAAAGCATCGCGAGAATACAGTTTTCGTCGCGAGTCTTTTAATGAATAATTACTAACATTGTTCTTCACTTCATTGCTGATTTATGAGGTGTGTTTATGTTCATAATATTTCATCGGCATCTAAATTTTAATATAGAGTTAATTGTACAGAGCCACCCGTGCGGTGTCTAATTGTCGAATAAGTCCTCATGTTAAAACAATTATCAATTACCCCCTATGTTGCATTTTTTTTCTAGCCTACCGCGCCCAACAGAGATAAATCGGGTGACTTAACGAAAATGACTAAACTACCCCAAGTTTAAAAAATATCATAAAGAATCCACGTTAATAATTAAAAAGAAAAAGTTAATCGTCATCCATTCCATGAAGGGGTGGAAATCGGTCATAATGGATCGAAAATAGCTTTTAAGAGAAAAAAATTCCAAATTGTTTCGAAAGTAAAAAATGGATTCCAATTTCTGTTTCCAAAAAAATCGGAATGCTAAAATTCATTCCGATTTTGGGATCCCTCGGAATCGACGGAATTTCAAATATTACATCAGTTTACAATCTCTTGTTCAGAATTCGGATACAATGGAAATTTTCACATTAATTTTATCTCTGTTTTTGAAATTTTGCAAGAAATTCCAAAAGAGAATTCAAATTTGAAACATATATTTAACTTATATAGGAAAAAATAAAACATAAAATTTAAGGTTAAATACAAAAACACCCTTGTACTATGGACTTGTATCATATACCACCCCCTGTACTACACATAAATACAAAAACCCCCCTACTATTATATTTTTTTCCAATATATATATATATATATATATATATATATATATATATATATATATATATATATATATATATATATATATACATGTGCTTGAGTAGGAGTATTTTCGTCATATTTTGGGAAAAAATGTAATGTGAGGGGGTTTTGTATTTATGTGTAGTACAGGGGGTATATGATACAAAGTTCATAGTACAAGGGTGTTTTTGTATTTAACCCTAAGATTTATGATACCAAATATAACATAAGTTATATTATGGAATTACAAAATATATCATATAACTACATTATATATTTCGAACAACCATACAAATATTTGTAACTAAAACCGAATCGGAAATCAGAATTTCCGAAATTTTTATATACCATTCCAATTTCGTTCCAAATAAATTTGGTAGAATTTGAAATCGGAATGACAAATACGGTTCGAAATTCGGATATTTTTTTTTTATCGGAATTGGCGAAATTCAGAAATTCTATTCCAATTTCCACCCCTAATTACCACACGAAATTAAAGAAAACTGAGAAATAAAGAAACTCACTTTAGGTGACCTCCCCCACTTACCCCATCTTTTTCCCCCCTTTCGTTCATCTCTGCCGCTAAGGGTGGAACCAGGAAATTTGATTTGGGGCAGCCAGGTTTTTTTTATGAAATGATACAACGGAAGGGAGATAAATTTCTTTGGGGATTCGGGGGCATCGACCCCGAACTTTTTTAGAGTAATTCATAAACAAATGAAGCAAAAATAAGTAATATATTATTTATGTTATGTAAAATGGTATGATTTTAACCATAATAATTTATAATGTAATAATATATATGAAAAAAACGTATATAATTTACATGAAAGAAATGAGAAAAATTAAAAAAATTAAAGGGTCAAAACTTAAATTTACATAAGATTGGGGGGCCAAAACCTTTATCTTAAACATATTACTCAAAATTACTATTTTTTTTGGCACTTTACAAATAAGCCCATCAATAGATACTTATTTATAAATCGGATCCAGACAAAAGAACTCTTTTACAAAAAAGTTCACATATGGTCCAGAGGTTTGTAAAAGACTAAAATAGCCCCTCACATTTTAATATGCTCCAATTTCTTCCTTTAATTTAATCTAATCGACCCCAAATTTCTCAAATTATTTAATTTTGACCCAAAGAACAATTTTATGGACAATTTCGTCAGTCTCCGCCGTTGATCGCTGGTTTCCAGCATTGACTTTTTTTTTTCCTGATTTTTCCACCGGTCTCCGACGTTGACTTTTTCGATTTATTTTTCTTTTTTGTTCTTTAACATCTTTTTGCCCCCGTTTAAACAACAATATTGCTGTGGTTGACAGTAATATTAACTATATTATTGTTAAATACATTAAATTAACTATGCTACAGTTTAACATAGTAATATTGCTATATTAATCTCTAGCACAATAATATTAACACAACAAAAGTCATTATTATTGTGTTAACGACAGTAATATAATTACGTTTACTCAACAAATCAAACAACATGGAAAAAACCCCCAAAAAAATAATAATATTTTGGTTGACTCTAATTGCACTGTCAATGACACAACTACATAAATGTACTGTGAACGACAATACAATTACGTTAATGTACTGTCAACAACATTATAATTACGTTAATGTACTGTCAGTGACAGTTAATGATAGGACAATTAGGGTCAACATTTATCGGCGAGTGTAAAAAAATAGATAAAAGTTTTATGAGAAAAAAAAAACAACTAAAAAAAACCGAAAACCCGAAAGAAAAAAATCAGTTAAAAAAGTTAACGCTAGAATCCGGCGGGAAAAAAAAAACAGACCAGAAAAAAAATCGAAAAGTCAACGCTGGAAACCAGCAGCAAAAAAATAATTTTGAAAAATAAAAGAGTTTAAAAAAACAAAAAAGCAAAATTGGATTTTTGTGGTCAAAATTGATTAAATTAGGGTTCCAATTAAGAATTGGGCGTAAAGGGTTGAGGGTGATTTTGTCATATACATTAATTTGTCATTTATTTATAATAAATATTAAAGAGATGTGCTTATTTGCGAGAGAAATATAGTGTCTAAACCTAAAATAATAAAGATGGTTGACAGGGACTTGTGCAAAAAAACCCTTTTTTTTTTTGTTAAATCTTGTGGGGTCTATAGCCCCTTGCCCCTCTTATGTTCCGCCGTAATCTTCACCTCTCCTCCATTATCTCCCACAGCAACTCACGGTGAAGGAATCCAAGTCTAAGTGATTGGCTATGAAGGTGGTGCGATGAAGTGTATGTATATGTGCGCAAAGAAGTTATGGATGGAGGAAGTGTGTGCGTTTGTGGGTTACTGCATTTTTTTTGTTTTTCAATTGGAGAGAGGGCTAAATTGAAAATATTTGGGACTGAATTAAAAATTTTAAAAACTTCATTTGGGCCTTAAAAAATTCTGGGGTGGATCTTTAATTTTTAAAATTTATGTAGCGTATTTAAGTCTTTTCATACCAAAAAACACACCACCAGTTACATAATTGGCGAGTATAATACACGTTATGGGCTAGAGGGCTTTGTGGCTTTGACTAAGTTTCATAGGAGGGTAATGCTAATCTTTATATATAAAATAAAGGGGTTTTAAGATATAAGTCAATGGTGATAAACCTTATTTGAACTAAATAACAAGTCTAACTAATATTTGCTTCACATCCTTTATTAAAATACATTCCAAAAATGCCCCTCCACTCACAAATTCAAAATTACAGCAGATTGTAAATATAATATGATAAACTATAGTATTATTTGACATTTTAAAGTTTGCATCTAGCATTTTTTCACGTTTTTTTTCCTTTTTGCATTTTTCGTATTATTCATTATATAAAAATCTATTTTTTCCCTTCTTTTCTACATAAATTGAAAATTGTGGTTTTTTTAAATTTTTTCAGTTGTAGACATCTACAGAAACCCATAGGAACCGTAATAATCCGTAATCACCTACAGACATCTTGAAACCCTAACTCCTCCTTTGAACCATAGCCGCCAGACACCGATAGACACTCACAGACATCTGTAGACATCCAAATCGAAAAATCTTGAATTTCCCCACTAAACCCTAGATCTGCTCCATCACGAAAACCCCAACTACCTCTTTGAACCCTAGCCGCAAACAAGCCGTAGACAACCATAGACACCCACAAAAATCCATAGTCATTAATTTTTTGACACGTGGCATTCTTAAGTTTTAACTCTTAATAAATTACGCTGATTATAATTAGGGTTACGAGTTCTACTGGGATTTTCTTTTTTTCTTTTCAATTATTAGAGTTCTAATTATATTTTTATTTAAAATATTCATGTGTCAATCATTCTATGGCATCCAATTTTCTTATTAAAACAGGCTATCCGGTCTAAATTTGCACCCATCCCATTATATGCTTAATCCAGCAACCCCTTGCGTATTCCGGTGCCGACATTGGTGAGAGCGTTCGGTGAATTTTTGGCGATCTCCAACGTCATATATTATCGTTCTAACAAAAAATTTAGTGACATTATTTTGGAATAAATGCCGAGATTTTTGATTTAATCTATTGGCGAAAATAAGTAGAGTAAGACGGTGGAGATCAATTTTAAAGGATTGATTAATATCAAGATCAATTTGTCGATCTTCACATTTATTAGCCACTTCCTGTTTCTTGTCAGTGATGTTTT